TTAATCGAACCTGGCGCAAGAAAATCGAAGAAACTCGACTGTGGTAGCTTCGATTAATCGATATTCATTGTAATTCGAAACGGAATCTCTATAGTCTTGTATAAAAACTACATGCGAAAATGTGAACTTTTCGTCGTGTTGATTGATTTGTATGCTATTTGCAATTTTCGTATAGTAAAAGTCTGCCAAGGAAATCCAAAACTTATACTTTCTAAACGTTTGCAAACAACAAATCGCGGTATCGGTTAGTGTTTTCCTAAACATAGAATTTGCAAACCTGCGGAGTGTGCTAGGAGGCTTTACTTTTTGAACATTTCCATTGTTTTTTTTTTTGCGTAAAAAGAGCAAATATATTTACATGTGTATGTATGCATGATTCTAGTTTAGGATATATGTTTATTTTAGGTGTACGCAAATATCCACACATATTTGGGAGTCTTCAATACACTGTTCAACAGGTCGTCATCGTTTTACCAAAACACAAACCATATAGGAAATATCAAAGAAGAAAATTTCAATACCAGTAGCAATGGCAACAAATAGTACACGTCAACTACTTCCGGATGTAAATGGCCATGACCTCCCTCATTTCATTAAGAAAGTTCTGAATAATATATGCGACTTCTACGATGAACAGGACCTCATAGATGTAACATTTAAGTTGTCTAATCCGACCGCTATGTAAGTGTACCACTGATTTATTTATGCATTTAACATTTTTGTTTTATTTAATTTGGCTTCTCACAGGATTCCAGCACACCGCTTAATACTATCAGCGGCAAGTCCATATTTTAAAGATTTATTCAAAAGCGACAAGGGCCTAACTCCTGTTATCGAAGTAAATGACATAGACAGTGACACCTTTGAACGTTTAATAACATTTTGCTACACCGGCCAAACGCTCGTAACCATCGATAATGTGGACGCAATGCTGAAGGCAGCAATATATTTGAAGTTGGATGAAGCGGTTGTCGCTTGTGTTGACTATATTTTGCAGAATATAACTGTGTATACACTGCAGCGGGCATATTGTTTAGAGCGCGAAACTCAGTGTGTACCACTGTATAAGAAACTGTTGGAATATGAAATAAATAATTTCATGGAGGTGAGTCATAGTGCTTTACCTCAATTTCGTACTATCATTCCACCATCTTAATAATAATACACTTACACTTTTGCTAAGTGTTTGGCCGAGCTTCTCCAATTTGTGGTGTGTGTCCTGATGTTATAAGGCTAATGGAGAATCAATTTTACGAAGCCATTTTCAGAATGGTAGATCTTCTGTTTGTTTATTACCTTATAACTTCTGAACCGCGGCACGGAATCGCACGAAACTTTGCACACTTATTTGCTTTTACCCCGGGAAGGTTATAGGCATAGAGAAATATGGGTAGTACTCGAAAAGAGGGCGTGGCACCTCCTATACTAACTAAAATTTTCATGTTGTATATCTCTTGAAATATTTGTGGTAGAGCAATGGAACTTGCTGTCGAGGTAAATAAAATAATTCCATACACATGGGAAAAATATTGGCGGTATTGGAAAAGGGGGCGTGGCACCTCCCATAGTTGTGAATTATTTAATCAGATCTACCTTCGGAACCGTAAAAGCTTAAACAGACGGGGAGTTGATCGGGATTAACTGGGACTTAATCCGGATTAACTGCAGTTAATTCCCGAGATGATCCGGATCAACGCTGTCGTCTGTTTAAGCCAGGGTTCGGATTTGCCTCACGCGGAACACGCGAGGCTGTTTGCAAATGAGCACTCGTTAGGTACGAGCGCACACGATGAGTAGCCAGCGAGCGAGTAAGCAAACGAGGGCGGCGCAAGAGTAGAGCGGCAAGCAAACGAGGGCCTCATTAGCTCTGCCCTCGCGAGAGGGGCGTTGCGAGCGAGGCACTCATTTGCAGCAGCAGTCGAGCGAGGCGAGTAAACGAGCGAGGCAAATGAGGCAAGCAGATTAGACAGGCAAACGGGTTGTTTGGTCAGCAAAAATGTATGGGATAAAAATTGCATCAACTAAGAATTTAGAGCAAACGATTGTATGCACACATGTAGATATGTATATACATACATATATACACATATGTATGTATTTATTTATATATATATTTTCATGCACAGAAGAATAGATTCGTGCTATTTGGACCATTTTTATCTACTAGGTAGGCACATATGTGCATACATATCTATGTAGGTATAATGTTTTTAATGTTCAATAATTTCTTATAAAATTTCAACTTATACACTTAGGTCTCTTTTTATGCGGTTCTTTTTTATGCGGATTTGAATTTATGCGGGTTTTCAAACACTTTTCGCTGTAACGATTTTGCTTTTTTGAGAGCTTTTACTTTTTTTCAATATGCAAGGGGCAATGCTTCTGATAAATAATTTGTTGTTGTATTCTTACATACAAGTAATTACTAAGTAATTTGACTAAGTAACTATGTTACATATGAAAATGAGAACATAATATTTATAAAAATCATTATTTTGTCTTTCATTTCATAAATAAGTAGGACATCAGCATTTTCAAATGAATATTCCTGGTTTAGCCCCATACATATATATGTATGTAGGATAATACAAACTACTATTTGATAATTAAGGCTGGTCCACATAGAACTTTCGCGTTGACTTTGTAGTTGGCGTTGGTTTGACAGAACGCACGTTAAAAGTATGAAGCTTGACAGAGACTACTTTGGCCACTAAATTAACATATTAACGAGAAATAAATTAATATTTCATATCAATAATAGCATGAAAAATATATTTCTTGCCTTCATTTGATTAAAAGGAAAAAAACATTTCATTTAATTTTATTTATTTGCAACAGCTGGCGACCGACGCAGGGATCATTCTGTTTTGTGTTGGCCTTATCGTTGCCAAATTTTGGATATGTGGATCTACCGATGTAAAAAAATCGATATGCCTAATAATGTAATGATTCCACCCTACAGAAATGCGTTTTCTATGACGTTGATGTTCGTTTTGGTTTAACAAGTGTTTCCGAATGTGCTCAACGTTATTACAAATAGGGGATTCCCTTAAACTCGTAAAGTCTTAAACCGTGTAACGCCACCTTTGTGAAAAGGGGTAAATAGTTGCGTAAAAAGACTGCTTGACAGAGCACCCTAAATTTTGTGAAGCAATTTTTGTTTCGTAGTATTTTCCATAACATCCGGCCATCCTGTCTCTATCAATTTTGGCTAAAATACGATTAAAAATGCTGAAAATTTGCAAAAAACCTAACTCAATACGGTCAGTGGACGAGATTCATTAATTTTATTTTATATTTTAGTATAAAAATTTCGGCCTCTCGGCAACACTGAAGTTTACGAGGGCGTTTTCGCATCGAATTTGCCTCGCAATTTTACGAGAGGCTCGTAAATAGTAGAGATCCATACAAAGTCGCTGGTTTCAAACGCAAAAATTTATATGCAACAAAATAAATGAGTCGATCAGACACACTTTCAAAATGCGTTCATGCCGATATAAAGCTGAAGGTACATACTTTTATTTGATGCGGCATTGCGTAGATGCTTTGCGCTGACGACGTTAAAAAATTTGCTGTTACACACCATGCGTTTTGCCGCTCACTGTTTTGTAAACAAAAAACAGCTGCTAAGCATATCCACAAATTTAATGTGAAATGTCAACGCATGAACGCAACAGAAAAGTAGCAAGTTGGTTTACTTTCGAAGGCAGCTGCGTTAACGCATTCGTAAAGGCGTCGTCTGTAACAGCTGTCATACAAACTCACGTGTTAAATGTTATTTGACATTGACAGCGTGACGCATCTGCCGGCGAACGCATGTAGTGTACCTTCGCTTTAACCCTTTTAATACGTGTGTCAATTCTTGATATTAATCAACATTCAAAAATAATAATTAAAGCTCAACCAGTCACGAAAAAATGATCTTAGCTGTTAATTTTATAGTAAAGCTTAGCATAAATGTAATTTATAGAACTGTTTAAATATTTTCCTTCATACAGAGTTGCATGGAACAACCGTGCGGACGAACTCCCTATTTATATGCATGCTTAATACGATTCAACAACTCTGAACTCGCATACAAAATGCGATTTATGGTACCACGCTTCAAAAATGCAATTCCATTTAAGAATGTGTTTACATGTGCGTGTCCAAGTAGCATGGTTCAACTTGCGCGAATTAAAGCATCATATATTAGATATTATTAGATAAATGAGCAAGAATGATAGAATACAAGATTGCGCATTGCCGATGGCGATGTCA